CAGGGACGTAAATTTACTCTAATACAAACTCACACACACACACACACACACACACACACACACAAAGCCATTCTGTTCAATTAAAATGGACAATACGCATGAAAAACTTCACTTCCCAGAGCTATTAATTAGCCATAATTAGTGGCTTTTGTAAGAGCACAAAGTCACCAAGCTGGACAAGACCTACCAAATTGCTCCAGTAAAAGCAATGGAATGCATTCATTTGGGCATAATAGATGTTTAATGCAAACTGAGGATAACAATAGATTAAATTATCAAGACAACAAGCTGCTTAATTTTTTGTGGAAACACTGATTTTAGATTGAAAGTTTTAAAAGAACAGCTTTTAGTAAAAACAGAAATCTTTTGTAATATTATAAATGTCTTCACTGTCACTTTTGCACTGATTTAATGTGTCATTGCTGAATAAAATGATTAATTTCTTTAAAAAAAACACCTGCATACTGCAACCTAAAACTTTTCTTTAAAAAAAACACCTGCTTACTGCAACCTCAAACTTTTCAACAGTAATGCATATTCTTAATATATATAGTATAATAAGAATAAAAAGAATAAAGCAAAAGTTATCAAGTAATACCTGATTTATAATTAAAATGTGATAAAAAAAGATGTCTTTATTTTTTAAATACATATTTTAGCATCTAAGTAGCAATTTTTGACCTAACCATTGAGAGTAAAAGTTACTAACGTCTCTAGGTTACGTATGTAACCATGGTTCCCCGAGGGAACGAGACGCTGCGTCGAAGTAGTTTTGGGAACGCCCTTGCGTGACCGCGTTCTGAAGCACGTGTTTAAGAATTAATGCAAGAATTTTATCAGCATTGCATGATTTTTATTGTCATACAGTGGGTACAGAAAGTATTCAGACCCCCTTAAATTTTTCACTCTTTGTTATATTGCAGCCACACAAAGAGTCAACACGTGCCATAGCACATATACCTGTATATATTGTGGAGCATTTTTTAGTCATTTACAATTCAAATACATTGAAGTCCCAACCTAGAACAGCTCTTTTCTGGGGTGCTAAAACAATCCAGAAGTGTCACCGCAAAGTTTTTGTTTGTAAACAGTAATTTCATCCGCAGAGAAAACCATTGCAAAGCAGATGCTACTGATGGGAGTGCTTACTCTGATCTGGAATCACAAGGCGTTTTCGGCATAAACATTAAAAGCACGTTTGCTGACTGCAGCATTGGGAATAGACGCGGAAAAAAACAGTGAGAAAACAAATACAAATGAACAGCTCCGATTTTACATACACAAATACATGACGTAACAGGAAAAGACGAATGGTGAAAACAAGAATGGATAGAAAAATAAAAAAGGGAGGCAGAGGAATGCTGGAGAACAGCTTGAATGAGAAAGCAGAGGTCGATAGCCAGTCTCTCTCTCTCCCCTCCCTCTATCTCTGGATGTTTTCTCTGGATGTTATTGCGCAGTGCTGTGACGCACCTGTTTTGATGGAGACTCAGATCTGTCAATTGGGAAGTGGGAGGATATCCCACGCCTTGCACTTTATGAATTCTGTGTCTCCTAGCAACTACGAGAACCGCTCGGAATCCGCGTGCATCTCTCTCCCTGCGGAGGAGAGCCAGTGACGGAGTTCAGGATTGGTTTGCGGGTGCAGAAGTATGACTCGCAGTCCAAGGAACCCCAACTCTTACTGGAGCTGGAGTCTCCCCTCCCCCAGCCTGCTGGCACCTTCACTATGTCTGTTTCCATGGTAGCGGGAGGTCTCCTCACATGGCGCAGGTGGGCGGATCAGCGTGTGACACGATTACACTTCCTGTGGGATAATCAAACTTCCTGTCTGAGGGACGGGAATCCCTCTTGCTCATTCTGGCATTATGAAAGCCTTCTAAACCCTCAATCCAACTATTAACATTTCCTTATCCATCTTTTCAACCACGATCAGAATTAAAGATAAAAATAACTTTTTTTTAGATGCCTAGGAAGTCTTTGAAGACCTTTGTGGTTAATTGGCTAAAGTTTCCATAGCAACATGACACTTCATACAAAGGATGTACCAGTTTTATCTTGCATTTGGCAACGAGAATGAATATAAATATTAAAATCAACACATTTAAAAAGCTCTGATGAGTGAAATAATAGTAAGAGGATGCCATAAACCAATTCAACACTTTGTAGTAAAATATTTTAAAATAAAATGAAAAATACAGAAATGAAGTTTGCATCAAAGTATGCAGATATATCGTAAAAGTATTCATTACCCAAATTAAATATTACATTATTTTAATATGAAATATTATATTATTATAGAACATTTTTATATATTAATTGACTGGTTTCAGTATATTTTTTTAACATTTTAATATCTTTTACAAATTCGTTATCCACTAAGGGGTCCATTGCTGCATTATAAGGATGGGAAGTGTGAGTGTGTGTACCTGAGAAAAGCCCAGGTTTCTGCAGCCGTTGCAGGGAGTGAGCGCCTCCCACAGGCCTGATGGTCCGCAACTCTTTTCCTCCTCTTCCATCGCCGGGGGCAACGGGGGAGTGGGCCGCTACAGCGGGGTGGAGAGATATGCATACAGTTACACACAGTCAAGAGTAGTACACACAGGTACAGATACAGATCTCAGCTCATGCCAACATGACACAAGCTTAAGATAAGTCAGAGACTGCATAAGGGGGAGGAGACAGACAACTCAGAGAGAAACGAGTACAAGAAATCTTAACGCTTAAAATTTTAAGAGCCAATCATCATTTTCAAACATGCTTTAAGGCAAGCCTCCATTCCTAGTGTTAGGCCACAAAAACTGAAATTTTGACCATATCCAAGTATCATATATAAATATGACGTCTATTTATTTTATGACACCAGTATGTTAAAAAAAAAGATCGTTTGCTGCAAGTATGCAAGGGAAAAATAATTAAATAATTCCTTTGAAATAGACAAAACATTTCAATGTTAATTAGATAATGTTGTTTTAAATTTTTTTTAAAAACTGTTTTGTGACCGGCAGGCAAAATGTATGGTCAGTAATTGTTCCTAGAATCCTTTTATAGACTTTGCAAACAACTCCAATCCCTTCAGTGAAGACTTAGGAGTTTTTGACGTTACTGGAATCAACTCAGAAGAGTGTTTGTGTGCATTGTGTCTTTGCTTGTTTATCTGGGCTCTGCAGACTTTGATTGATTGACCCGACTCCATGTTTAATTGTATTGATCAAAGAAACGCAGTGGAGCAAACCGTGATCCAGTGGTCACTGTGACAGCTAAACCATGACACACCTTCAGCAAATGACCATTCCATTACACACTTTCCTAATGCATTCTGTCCCTTACATAAGGTTAAATTCACTCCCTAAGCCAGCAATGTGTTGAAGCCACATCAAAAATATGATTCTGTTTGAGTTAAATAACAGCAGTGATTAAATCGGGGGCTGTTTTAGTGCTATAAATATGTATTTATGAGATTATATAAATTGAAGGGATACCCAGCAATGCACACAGTGTTTAGTTCTGCCCTCTGCTGGCCATAGTGAGGCACTGCATCAACAGAGAAATGCTGTTCATTATTCAAAGCTTATTAGGACTTCTTGTTATTGATGGTCTAACGTCATTGATTTCATTTTCTTGAAAAACATTTTTTTTAATATATTTTAAAGGGGCGTAATCTGATAAAAACACTTCTTTAACTGCATAAAAACTGTTCAAAATCAGCAAAAAAGCCATTTATTCTACTGCATTTCCTTCTCAATGCACACCTTGTTTATTCGAGTGAGAGTGCCGTTCTGTTCTTCGTCAGACAGCCGCCCACTGCCGAAGCTCTCCATGGACTGAGAGTGAGAAGAGATGGTCTGACACAGCTCCTCAAAGGAGCAATCCTTATCACGGCAGATCTTTATTTCATTCAGCAACTTGGACAACTCCCCTGTTACTGCGTCATCTACAAAGGGAAGAAGAAAGAGAGAGAGGGGGCAAACTATGAATTTAAATGAAAGAAGAGCTGAAAACAAGAAAGAAAAATTCCGCTTCATATTAATGGATAGCAGTATAGTACATCTTAGCCTGCCACAGTATGAAAGACTTGAATCTGTGTCATGTGATGATCTTCGTCACTAATTTTGGAGCTCATTTAGTCTTATTCTTGATAGTTAAATTCTTATTCTTACTAGTTAAATTCAAATGAGAAATTTTTACACTTATATATTCATGTACATTTTTTTATTTACCTTAACCCTTTTATATATTACCTCCATACAATTATGCAATACAAATGTACTTTTTTTTGTTGTTGTCAAACTAGCACAATATAATAAAATAAATTGAAGTTTCAAGTAATTAGGGACTGGACCATACCAAAAGCACATCAAAAATCTCTATAACAGCTTTTAAATAAACGTTTTTAATGTATCATTCATCACAACATCCGTCTTATTTATTTTTATTCTCTTTGTCTGCTTTTCAATATTTAATCTGGGACAAATGCTTGTTTTCTGGCATGGGCTCAGTGTGCTGATGTGTACTAACAGTCCTTTTGTGGCTGGCAGACTCTCAGATTCACCTGTGAGCATTACCAAAATACTGCCCCAGATGGAATCAAAGACACACATCCAGCAGTATTCAGACCACAAAAGGACCAAATGAGACTGCGCTGCACTGCAACAACTGACCACTAGGAACGCTGCTGACTGCACTTTCTTAATAATGCACATACACTAATCAAACCATCCACGCTACGTTTATGAAAAACGTAGCAAAATAAGATTTATTTTTTTAAATTAAGAACATGATGATGAATCGATTAAGGGATTTATGCGTGCAAACACTGGATTAAACAGTAAAACCTTTGCCAGAGGAAGACAAAGCAGCAGACAATGCGCTGTAATACTATCACTTGACCACTGGGTGTCGTACTGCACACTAAAATACATGAAAAACGTGAGAGAATGAGAATGAGCATTTGGATGAGCCTGTTTACTTTTGTAAATGAACAATTACATTTAGGTGTTAAAATAGCATTTATACTGTATATGCATTAAGAACTTAGTTTTCATTCAAATATATCTACACATACTTTTATGCCGTAGAGACGGGGAGGGCACAGGTGAGGGTATTGATGTGCGTGGTGTCGGTATTGGACGCTGACGGGTTAAATCTTTGTGAAAATTCCCTTTGTCACAATCCCACGTCATAAAATCTAGAGAGAGAGAGAGATAAATTAATTTACAGAACACAAACAAGTACAACCACAAACATGCATTGAAGATGTTCCATTGTGCTCAGTTTAACCCTATAAAGCCTACTGTACTATATTTGATAAGCAAATGTCTAAGGCCTCTAATTTCTAAGAAATTGTCAGCAAGATCAAACTGCTGAAAAACCTGTAGTACACAATCTGTTACATGCCTCCTGTCATCTGAGTGATAGTTTACACTTTTCAGCAAATAAAAGACCTTTTAGCTTCATTCTAAAAAATGTCTCCTTCAGATTGTGGTACACTTTTTTTTTTTAATGTGAAATCTTTACTGATTTTTATCAAATAAACGTACGATTAACTTTTATATTGTTAGTAACATTTCAAGATGGACACTTGCTGAACTGAAGCAAACTTGGGTTTATTTGATGACCCATACACCATTTTTAGAAAAATCATGTTAAAATGTGAGTATCAAATATGATACATCAGGCTTTTGAGGAACGTTTGTTTGTACATTTCTTAATCATCAGTGTATTGCATTGCATTATAAATATAATCTTACTAAGACATATTATTGGCCCCTCATGTTCTCCTATATAATACATAATGGCCATAAAAGCTTGATGTATCAAATATGATGCTCAACAAAAACACATATGCAAACTTTCATGTTGTTGTTCAATTTTTAAAAATATATAGATTTTTTTCTGACCATTATTTCATCTGTCAGGTTTTACAGGGTTAAAGAAAAGCACTTTACGTTGGTGAAAACATCTGTAATTGTAGCTCTAAACAACTATAGGCTGCACAAGCCACATGGTAAACTTGTAAACAACAATAGTTTCTGAGTCCCGTCAAAGACTCTAGATTATAAAACCACAGCAAGCTTGAGTTTGACATTCTTTCACGCAGAGGCAGGGAGGAGAACTGTAATGTTGCCTCTGTCCTGTAGGATGAAGGGTGATTTAGACTTCACATGTGTCAAAAAAAGACATTTCCGAGCAGTAATAGGAGTCCTCAACTCTCAAGACTGCATTTCACAACCCTCAGAAATGTATAACCCTGGGCATGAAGTGGATGGAAACAACAAGCTAAAATGAATTTAATTTCAAAGCCAGATAACCCCATCATATTCGTTTATGAGGGTGTGTTTTTGAAAGCAGAGATGGAACAATGGATTCAAACACCAAACGTCTTTTGTGTTGTACGATAAACTCTGCTGGAAAGAATGAGTTTAGTTGGATAAGTACATGAAGGAAGATGACAAACAAACTTTAGAATAATCCAAGATGTTATAATACAGAAAATTTCACATGTGTCAAAAAGAGACATTTCCGAGCAGTAATAGGAGTCCTCAACTCTCAAGACTGCATTTCATAACCCTCAGAAATGTATAACCCTGGGCATGAAGTGGATGGAAACAACAAGCTAAAATGAATTTAATTTCAAAGCCAGATAACCCCATCATATTCGTTTATGAGGGTGTGTTTTTGAAAGCAGAGATGGAACAATGGATTCAAACACCAAACGTCTTTTGTGTTGTACGATAAACTCTGCTGGAAAGAATGAGTTTAGTTGGATAATAAGTACATGAAGGAAGATGACAAACAAACTTTAGAATAATCCAAGATGTTATAATACAGAAAATGTCCCAATGTAGTAATAATGTGTATAACAATGTAATAAACATGTAATAATTCCTTATTCTCAATTATATCTCATCAAGAAGACACAGTATTGAAAGTATTTGCAGTTGTTTTTTCTTTCGAGAATGCAAGGGAACATGGATTTCTCATACACACTAAACCACCATTGTTCTCAATCTAACACAAACTTCCTGAAACAAATTTTATTAATCTGCAAGCATCTGCCTTCTGATTTCCACCAAGAACACGCTCCCTCATCAGCTTGTGCACGTGTGTGTGTGCTTGTGTGTGTTTTAATGGCTTTATTTGCTTTAATGTTTACATGTGTGCGTGTCTGGGAAATACTTTACCTTGAATGAGAGAAGCAATTTGTTGTGATTTCTGAGATGGATGTTCTCTTAGTATGTCTAGAGCACTTCTTCCTTGGTAATCTCTGATGTTGGCATCAATCCCTGGGGGGAAAAATTATTTTTTGGATTTTCATTTTTAGATTAGCATTAATAAATGTTTTTAATTTGCATCTTGTATATTTTGTGTAATAGCTGCTTCTTGTCTAATTATATGGTTCTTTTTGGCAGAGCACAGTGGAATATTCATTTCAATTAGAACATTCAATATTGATTGCAATAAAAATTCAGGTCGTTTTCTCTATAATTTTTAGTATTTTATTTTATTTCTGCACATATAAAGTTGATATTTTAACAATAAATCTATATAAGGTATATATATATAAGTTATATAAGTTATATATAATTTATTAATATAATATAATATTTTATTTATTAATATTAACACAAAAATATATTAAAACTAAAATAAAAGAGTTGAAACAAATAAAATAAAAAAATAGTTTTTGTCTTATGAAAATTATATAATTGAAGAATCAGGGCTGACTCCTTCCCATAAAACCCTCAAAAAACATGAAAAAAAGACAAACACAAAACCAAACATTTTTCCCAGAATAAAACTTTCCATAACAATAAAACCACAACTGAACAATCACACCGCCCTTTCCCTATGACAGGAAGTTCCCCATTCTCCAATTCCTGTTCCACAGCTGGAACTGACAGGGAAGCTGTTAGGTCACAGGTCACACATGTAGTTTAAACAAACCATGGTCATGCAACCTCCCCATCCTAACACCACACACATACACTTCTGAAAGACATACCTGAGTCAAGCAGTAGCTGAACTACATCCATCTTTCCGAAGAGAGCGGCTTCATGGAGAGCACTTCCTTTCTCTGTCTAGAGAGAGAATGATTTTAAGTCAATATTTTAAGCTTAATGCCTCACATAAAGAAGTAAATGGCAATTATACACTATGGCATCTTTACTACTGCTGCCCTCGCAGTCTATCAGCCGCGACTGGCAGGGTATTTTATATCATGCTCGCTGTGAAGTACTTAACTACACCCAATTTAGCTCTGGAAACATTTATTCAGTGTACTACAATTAACGGCAATAGTGCTGTGAATTTATTAGCCTGACTGATGGGAGCTTGAAAGAGGGAAAGAAACGGGCAAATGAGACCGAACAGCAGTTGAGACAGATCGCGAGAGAGCTTCTTGCACAGCTGAGCATGGTCATTTTAATAGGCCACCGGGAGACCGCACACGATACCCAATCAAACGGGCCCCCATCGGCCTTCATTAGTCCAGAGGCATGAGTACAGCGCCGGCGGTTGCTCTTCTCCCTGAACTATTGGATCTGTGTGATGATGCAATACACATTAAACAAGAACTTAGGGACTTACTACTGTAATACTTAATCCTGCAAAAATGTTTGAGACACTGTTTTTGTCTGGCAGTGGTACCACAGCATTAATCTGGCTCCTGGACAACAGACTCTCCAGAGTCCAGATAGATCACGCTAAGTTTATGTCTTTGTAACATTACCAGGCGTTCTTGCATTCTGTATGTGCTTTTTTAGTGTGTGTACACAATGAATTTCTTTCTTGTTCTTTCTGATTCTGAATGAATGTCTTGGGCTGCTGTATAGTTTCTCTGTTTCTCACCAATGGGATTGTGGGTGCTTACAAATAAAAAAAATCTGGGATGTTTGGCAGATAAGAATGCACAAGATCTGCTTCAATGGTATAAAAAGATCAATTTTCAACTTGAAATCAAGTGAGAACACAGCAAATTTCTGAACTGGAACTACTTTTTGGGAAGTTCTCATTGGTCAACAAATGTCTACACCAAAGAGTCCTCCTAAATTTTTGGCTGCAAGATGGCGCTCCGTTTTCACACCACCCTGCTATTTTTGATCTATACATCCTGATGCATCATTCCCATTGAAATCAATGTACTCAGTGCGTTTTCAAATGCACCCTAAAGCCAGTCACAAACCAATGCACCACACCATGCCTCATTGTGGATAAGAAAATAAAACAACAGGTATTACACACCGGATGCGTCACATTCAGTTCAAGACAGCTGCCCAAAACAGTGATTCTAATCACCAAACAGGCAAAAGTTCACTTTAAGAATGAAAAAAGTGGAAATGATGAGTTTGAAGTTTGAAAAAACAGACATTATGTACACTTAGATCGATTTAGGGCAAACATAATGGAATTTAATGGAAATTCAATTTAGTGGCACTCTGTGTCATAGCCCTGCGCCACGGACAGATGCCTAATGCAGTTACTCGTTGAAAAACAATGTGTTTGAATTTCAAAAATGAAGTGTTGCGCTTCTTGTCTGGTGTATAATCCCCTTAAGGGTTGTTCACATAGAACGTGTTTTTGCATTTCGTCATTGTTTTTCTATGTAAACATGTGCTCGATGGATGACTTCGACCATTTCGCTTGTATCTTGTGTTTTTTGCAGCATATGAAGGATGACAAAGTGTTCTAAAAATGCTCTACTTAAGTTAAAAGAAGTTAACATTTTTTAAAAGACCTTGCATTACTTTAACCACAGTCACGTCATGTTTTTAAACGCAAAATCTCATTCTGTGTGTATGGTCATCAGAAGATAAAAGCATTTCAAAAGTTCTGTTTCATTCAGTTGCAGTCGGTCATACTTTTCTCAAACACAAGAACGTATCTTGTGAACACCCAGCAAGTCTGACAGTTCTGGAAAACAACAAATTGAGGCAAATATGGGGTTGAGTAAAAAGAAGACTATGAGTCTACAGTCAGTGCTGGTATACTGTAAGACTATACCTTAAGGAACATTTTTGTACCGTATTAACCCATGTGGGGTAATATTAGTACCTTAGGTACTAATATGCATTCTTTAGGGGTTGATAAGGCTCAAAGGTGTATGTTTGAGGGTACTAAAGGAAGCTAAAGGAACATTTTTTAATGTATGTACTCTCAAGCTTGAATCTAAGTATACAAAAAATGAAACCTTTCATAAAGTTACACCTTCAACATTTATAAGATACTTGCAAAATGAGATCTCATATCCTCTGTGTTTACTTACTCAGAGAAAACACACTCTCTAAGACCAAACATAGTTGCAGGTAAGACATTCATTCTTCAACCTGAAGTTAAACTCTAGTCCAGATCACTGAATAGTCAGAATGACTAAAAAGACTTAATCCTGAATGAACGTGGTGAAGACTGAAGAGCACACTGTTCTCCTGATATGTTAAACTCAGAATTCTGTACTGTTCGGGATGAGCAGATCTCCCGAAATGTTCCCAAAGGGAAGGTTTGTACGATTCAGGTCACTTCGTGATACAAAATTTGTCCCTAAAGTATAACCAAGTAAACACACACCAGGGTAGCCTGAGGAAATCCTGGACTGAGAACAGAGTGTTCCTCTACTGCGTTTCACTTACTCTCACAGCTAGATTAATTATTCATCCATTTGAGCCCTTAAACTATTCACACACACTCTCTCTCTCTCTCTCTCTCACGATTGAGCATGACAACTGAGACCTAGAGCGAAAAGGTGTGTGTAAAGTGTGTGGAGTTCTAGAGGAAGAAGATGTCCTGCCCACACACACTGACCTGTGTGTTAACGTCCATGTCGGCCTCCAGCAGCACTCGAACAGTAGTGTGATGGCCATTTCGTGCAGCCAGATGTAGAGGTGTGTGCTTGCGTGTATTGCAGCTCATGAGGTTGGGGTGGGCGGTCAGTAGCATGCGGACCACCTGCAGGCGGCCGTACAGGGCGGCCAGGTCCAGCGGCGTTTCTCCTCGACTGTTCCTCATGCTGGGGTCCGTCAGCTCCTGCAGCAAAACACGGACCACCTCGGAGTGACCGTACTGAGCCGCACAATGCAGAGCCGTCTCCTTTTCATGGTTCTACATCAGAAAGGGAGAGACAGCATGTTACTGTAACAGCACTGTAAAGAAATTCCCTCTGAAGCATCCATTATCAAAACATGAGATGTCATATAACCCTGACAACTGTCTATCAATCACTTACTGTCCTAAGTAAGTCCCATAATGCATTGCCACTGCCCTAAGGCTATTGTCAGGTTGTTTTTACACACAAGACGATACACAGCAGCACACCCTGATCGGATCCCTCCATTGCATGAATGAAATTCAATGCTATTTAACGATAAGACAAATCAAACACAGCTGGTCAAAACTGATAACGACAAATTACTTGAAGGTGAAACATCTGAATGCATTAGCAGATTCATATCGTCATCATATAGTAATGAAATTATTAAATTCATTTAATAAAATATCAACTAGTCGACTAATGGCTTGAATGGTTGACTAGGAAAGACTTTAATCGGGACCAACCCTAGTGTTTTTACTGACCCAAATAAAAAGAGATATGGCTAGATATGGCTCAGGAATCTCCTTTAAGTCTTTTCATTGACTGCCAGGGCTTTCAAGTCTGATTGTTTAGAAACGTATTACCACAGCTCTCCCTGCAGGTGGTGTGGGATGATGAGTTAGCGGTCATAAGCATGAGTCATAAGCCAAAGATAACTCAACAGCACCCTCTATTGCCACTACTGCATACCACACTCATTCTCTTGACTCTATGTGTGTGTGTTGAAAAATGTGCAGTCATGTCTGTGGTATGAAGACAGAAGTAGCACTCGTGCAGGTCTGTCAATAAACAAGAGAACTGCAGCGAGCGGCCACTTTAACTGCAATGACTTATTTCAAGCAAATGGGTTCCTTAATTAGCCAGACATGATTGAAAATGATGATAAGAGACTCCCAGTCCCTAAAGCAGCACAAAGAAACAGACCTGAAACTGCAGACAGATATCTCTCACTCTCCCTATCGCTCTCTCTCATACTCTATGCCCTGCCTTCCTTCCTTTAATCTCCCTTTTTTAGCCTTGAATAGCAAACAAACACACACACACACACACACACACACACACAAAAAACCTGTCCTCTTTTTGGAAAACTAAAATATGGTCACCCTAAACAAAATGTCCTTAAACATCAAAAATGAAATGTATTATTATATAGCCTCCATCGTGCATCTGTATGTCGGCCAGACAGTGCAATATTCAGAGAGACAGCAGGCCGCTTTCCCACTCCATACTGTTCATGCCCTATTGGTTAATATCCAAGATGGGCTGTCATGATAAAACAACAGAAGAAGCGGCATTCGCATTCAATCAATGAAATTACATATAATAGCAATGGCGTGTCTAAAGCGATCAGCACTTTAAATGGCACAAAACAAATAATTAAAGTATAAAATATACAAACAGAGCCAACTGCAGATTGAAGTGAAGTGACATGTGGCCAAGTATGGTTACCCATACTAGGAATTAGTGCAGGACTCCGTGAGTCTCATCTCTTAGTGGAGCACTAAAGCAGATGTACAGACAGACAGTATAGCCCACGGGAGGATAGAGGATGTGTGGAGGAGCACATTAATCTTGGCTATCCTGTACAATCCAGTGCAGTTTAATGTGGATTCGGTCTTTGAGCCGATATTGTAGAATTAAAGGAATATTCTGGGCTCAATACAAGTTAAGCTCAATTGAGCATTTAATGCTGATTGACGTAAAATAAAATAAAATCAAATAATAAAATAAAAATAGATTCATCCCTTGTTTTCTTAAAAATATAAATAAAAAAATAGAAGTTACAGTGAGGCACTTACAGTTAGGTGATTTTTTTCAAACTGAATTATGTAAAAATCATGTAAACATGAATACTGTTTACATCTTGTGGCTTTACTACTGAAAGTGAGCATTTAAACGTTAACTTCAATTGAAAGTGCCTCACTGTAACCCAGATTTTTGCTTTTTTCCAAGAAAAGGAGAGACAAATAGAAATTACTTTTTTGTGGTAATCAACATTATATTTCTTTATATGAGCCACCATGCCATTCCAAACACAGGAAACTAGGTCCAAAGGTGACCATCGTACTATAAAACACATGGTTCAACTTATTCTCTTCGAAGAAGAGAGTGTTAACACGGCGGATCTGACACAACTCACAAACACATCTGGCTAATGCTGTGTATATGTGTGTGTGTGTGTGTGTGTGTGTGTGTGTATGAGAGAGAGAGAGAAATAGAGGAATTCAGAGGGCCGTCTCTTGTGGGCTCAGAGGAGCTGGAGTCAGAGAAAATGGTGTAACCTTTCATCCTCCCAACCAGAAAACAAAACATTCCTGAGTAACGCACAAAACTAGCCATTTTCTCACACTCCCTCTCTCTCAAACACATACAGATTCATCCACTAAGGATCTATGTCCACATGCTAGAACACACAAATGTTAGCTATTTAAACACTTCCTATTGAATTTGAACATAAAAGTATTTTTGAATATATTCAAAGTTTGGGGTCAATAAGAATTTTTAATTTTAAACCGAATCCTCTAATAGCTTTAATATAAAATGTATCTAACTGCTACAGAATAACCATACCCTAATTTAACTTATTTACTTTTTCCAAATAAGGACATCCCTAAATGTCCCAAAGGAGCTTTCATCAGATTTGGCTTACCTCTATTGACAGATTTGTCCCCAAAGTATAGTAAACACACACTCACACAGAGGCTTTTCTCATTCCATTTCATTAGTCGAGCAGCTTTTGCCTCTCTGTAATAGGTCAATAAATCTGGCATCAATCTACAAATGGACACACCAACGGCTTCTTTATATGCATTTAAACAAAGCAAAACTCCGTCTATGGCATTTATTAGCATATAAATTAAACCTTTGTGTTTGAAAAGACAAAGTAGCAGGCACTTGGAAAGACATGAGGGTGAGTAAATGCTGACAGAACTTTCATTTTTGGGTGAACAATCCTTTCAAGAACCTGTTCACTTAGCTGAGTGATACAAGTAAGTACTCTTCAAGTAATTTAGCAGAGACTTCCCTTAATATACGGTCATATGCTGTAAAATGGGCCTGTCACAGACTGTCATGTTATTTTCTGTGAAAATGCAAATCTCTTGAGTGACAAATCACCTGCAGGTATGTTTGACGCGGATCTTCAATATGAGCGTGACAGAAATGCATTCAGTGTTCAGATTGATTTTATGTCCTTTCAGATGAAAGAATGATAAATGGAAGCTCTCCGCTTTTATTGCATTTACAAATCTGGATGACGCAGAGGCTTAAACAAATTTTCATACATAGAATCTATAGATAAACGCACCCCAATCTTTCAATACAGAACACAATTTCACAAAACTTGACATTCCTTATTGGAGGGTTTACAACCCTTGTGTCTGTTTGTGTCAGCATTAAAACTATCAAACACTAGCTGGAAATCATGGGGCTATAAACAGCCTCTACATAGCAGTACTGAAATAATAGCATACCCTCTGACACGAAATATATGAATATTATACTCGGATATGAGTAATGTCCAAGTCATAAAGAGCTCAGCATCCCACACTGCAGTGTAATATACGCCGTAATGTCTGTGCCACCGGCTGTGTGTGTGTCCAGGTCTATGTATCATCACTATTGCATTGCTTATTGCTCGTAAAGTGCTGCACATATCCATTTAGAGAAATGGATGTAAAATGGAGTGAAAGTAAAAAAATGTATCAGTCAGGATTATGCAGCATTCATAACTGACTTGAGAAGGCCCAATCCAATTAATTTCCTAAAATTTAGTTGAATTCAACATTCCTTTCATGAATTGAAAACTCAAAAACAGACCCTAATCATTATTAACAGACTACTGACAGTGTAAATGAATGCCATAAACTGTCTTTGTCTCTCCAAAATGCACTCATGCTGGCGGTGAAGGTCTATCCATCAAGCTGATGGTTTAGTGAGTTGAGGAGGGCTGAAGATTGGACGTAATTGTTTCTCCGGCTTGTTTGGTCAGTAAGAGTGAGGCATATGGCAGGAGAGAGAGCAGCACTCTTCCCTGCAATGAGACAGCATTTTAACTGCAGGTAAATACAGGCCTTTCACAGAGCTGCTCTGATTCTGCTCAACAAACCCTCCATCAGCCCATCAGCACGCTGAGATACGAGGAACAGGTCTGAAACCGTCAAAAACCTGTTAAGAGTGTGTATGTGTTCCTTCTCAAATGCATGGTTGACCATGTACAGATGTTTTTTGTGTTAGTAAATGTGTACTATTAACAGCAGACTAGTGTAAAGTGCTCAGTAGCGCTCAATACTAGTGCTTGTTATTGCTCAGGTTTGAACAAACCCCTAAAAGTTCAGCTCATTCTCCACCATTTCGGACATAGATGATACCTTAAATTCTGTCGTTTATTTTAGGGAAATGTGGGCAATTACTTTTCAGATGTACCATTTTCATCTGCCACATGACAAAATGTGTGAAAATATCCCACTGACTTACTGATTTAAGAAGAAACCCAAGTCGTACCTGAAAAACAAACTGAAAAAAACCGGAATATTTTTACAGATTTGGGGGTGGCCATGTAAGAAACCACCTAGCAACCACACAGAATTCCTTAGCAACCACCTAGCTGACAAACACACAAGAAAATTCAGTTCACCCATTGAAACAAGTCCAACAAGTCCGCCTAAGGCCCAAAACAAATCTGACCTTAACTAACTTGTTAGTTAATGTTAGTTGATGCATTAATTATCGTTAACTAATTAGAACTTATGGTACAGTGTTACCAAATTACTTGATGAAGTAGTTTAGTTCAAATTGAGTTAATGCAACCATTGATGTCTTTTAAATTGTTACATATAAATCTATTACCCAAGCTACGGATTGTAAAATTAAACATTTGTGATTAGTTTTTTTTTGGTTTTTTTAGCTTACATTTTACTCAGCATTAATTTAGCATACTGCTATCACAACATGCTAGCTTAGCCAATACTGCATCTCGTGGCAGGGGAATGGTTAAGGATTTTCAGATTATGAATAAAGATTATGAAGACAAACATCTTTTTCTCTGGATTTATTTGCACAGATTAATTGTTCACCACAGGACTAGTGATGTGTGTTAACAAAGTCAGTTTGTGACTTTAAGGTTTTAGTGTAACTGACTTGCACTGGGTATTGGCTAAGTTAGCATGATATGCAAATGTTATGATAAGATGAGGGGTAAGCTTACAAATAGTACATTTGCTCTAAGGGTATGTGTGTGTGTACCTGCTCATTAACTCTGCTGTGGGACGGCCCGTGGTGGATCAGTATCTGGACTATGTCCACGTCACCTCTCCATGCGGCCAGATGCAGAGGAAAACAGCCCTTACTGTCTGCCACATTAGTAGAGGCTTCAAACTGCAACAACTTCAACACCACGTCCCTGAGAGAAAGACAAATAAGAAAGATTTCATGTAATTGTGTGGCCGATTTTCATTCTTATATACCAAAAATCTCATAAATCTTCTTTGGTACTATTTAACTTCATGAAGCTTTTTGCAGGCACAATATGAACGGGGTAATTGTGCTCTAATCATAATACATAATTCAAGTTACATAAAATCCCTCTCCTACTCTGGCCTCATTCTAATGACAAACGTTTAAACCACCCTAAAACCCTGAGCTAATCTAATTCCATCCTGCTTTAAAAAAAATCAGACTAATCTTACACCGCCTCATCCCATAAACCCCTCATTAACTGAATATAACGCCACCCACCTCATATACCTCACACTAATCTGGCTGTATCGAGATTCACAAACCCCGCCCTAATCTGACCCCACCCCTAGTTCATAAACCCGCCCTAATCTGACATCACAGTCTTCTGATTCTTATGTATGTGAGCTAAATTACACCTCTATAAAGTAATCCTGATGTCTAGTGCTTTCCCTTTTTAAATCTATAACACCACGTTAGGAGAGACTGAAGTGTGTGAAAGCGTAAGCTCATTCATTTGATTTAGCACCCATTAACTTACATCTTAATGCAGTTATTCACTTTTCAAGAACCTGTAAATGAACTGGAGAATATGAGTGTTACCTGTGTCCGTTCAGAGATGCGTGGTGCAGAGGTGTGTATCCTGAGCCGTCAGCACAGTTCACATTGACGCCTCTCCACATACTGCAGAGGAGAAGAGAAGATCAATCAGTACAGCTCTGTAATAAGACATCAGTACAAAACTACTAAACATCTACAACAAAACCATATACCGCAGATATACGGAGTTATTTTTGTACAGAGTTGATCTGAGAGCTGATACAGCAGAGTTTGAGTACACCACACTCATGCCAAGATTGCTATGGGAATCTCCTGTTTCTCACGATCTTCACAGGACCTTAAATGCTGCTTAGAGAACACACAGACACATTTACCTTAAAATCTAAATGGGGAAATACCACAGATCAAGGGTTTTCACTTTTTGTTGCCAAGAACCCCCAAATACGATAAAATTGTGAAATAAAAACATCTACTTATATTAGTACAAACTATTCCTGAATGAATGTCACAAAATAAGGAGAGATTCCATAAAAAATATGTAAATTTGTTTGTTTTATTTCTGTTATTATCATCATCAGATTATTTGTATTTTTATTTCTATTTGTATTTCTACTTTTTTTTTTAAAGCAAGGGCTATAAAATCTTAAGACAAAATACAAAAAAATACAGCTGTTGATAAAATCCTCATGATTAATCTTACAAATATCAAATTCTATTATCAGAAATCTGTTACAAATATTACATTAAATATAATTAATATAATAATACTTAATAAACACATGAACTATGACAGCCCTAATAATATATTTTTTGATTATTTATAAATCTGTTTTCCAACTGAGGGTGTTCATGAATGTCCTGATAGGTTTTGTCAGATTTAGTTCAATTTTTATCCATTTTAATCCCCAAACTATGGAAGCGCAGTAAGGTGTTGCATATTTCCTTGCAAATAAATAAATAATCACACGGTGATGGCAGAAAAACATAATTTATTATCCAGTAAATATTTGTTGATAAACGTAATTTATTCTCCAATTCAAGAATAAACCGAAAGCACACTGGTTTCACACTGAGAATTTGTTTCAAGATTAATGATTTATAGTTTAATCAAGGCAGAGGCACGCTTTTAGTTACTTTCTCTCTATTTCACAAGTGTTAATGCCTGAGAATAGTTGCAACCGAAGTCCATAACTAGAACATGAGCAGTCAATAGCACTGATGTCTAGACTGATAAGAAGACTCACCCCAGACAGACATGAGGAGGACTAAGGCCACGACCTGCCATATGACTCACAGCATGACTGACCAATCACAGGACAACAGGAAACACACACACACACACACACACACACACACACACACACACACACACAGGG